CAATAAATTCAAATGAAATTCATTTTAAATGAGATTTTTCATGAATTGAAGTGTATTTTTCAATAATGAAATTCAATTTCGCTTATTTCGCAATTATATCAATATAATAGACATGAGATTTACAAATGATTTAAAAACAATTTTATATTAAATGAATATTGTACTGTAAGTGGAAAATAGCGTCAATTGTTTGCAATTATCATTTACTATATTTGAAAATTTAATTAAAAGTATAAACAACTAAATGAATGAACACATCGCTTGCGTGACAAACAAGGATTGATTGTATTTAATGTCAATATTTGTATTAATAGCACAACACTTATAGCATTAGTTTTTTATATAAATACCGAAATTGAATGATTGAATGCAAAACATGATTAATTGTTTTTAATGCAATATTTGCTTATTTTGTTGTTTAACAGCCGATGATAACCATAAGGTGTTCGTCCGAAAGGGAGGCAATGGATCGCTTCCGTGTGAACCCGCACTACAGGCCCACAAGATTTACAATCTTCAATGGTGGAAGGAGGACAAGAAAATTGTCGAGGTAAACAACCCCTATATTCACATACTGCACATCTCGCTATTATTAGATACGATACGCTAATTGAATGTTTTTGCATCTCGATATTTATTTATCCAATTAATTGATTGTGATGTCTGACTGTCTGTCTCTCTCCCTATTTATTGTATATACAGATAGAGAACGAGAGGATAATCCTATGGCAAGTGGCGGAGAACGTGGCGTTTGTGCCCGAAAGCGGTGCCCTTTCCATACGATTTGTCACTTTTGCCGATTCAGGAGAATATCATTGTATTGTGAATAACAAGAAGGAGAACGGATTGATGCGATTCTATGTTCAGGGTATGTATGGCACCAAAACATACAGACAATCCCATTGTTAAATAATTAGCGCCATTAATAGCATCACTGTATTGTCAAATACAGAGCGCAGCGACGGTACGGTTCGTCTCCAAAAATAATACCTGTATTTCACTTCAAACCGATAATAATGTCATTTAAATATATCTCTGCTATAAAATGTAATCCAATCCCTCTCTCCCTTCCAGTATTTGTTTGTGTTTTACATTTTGCGCTTAAAACTGATTAATTGTCACATTTATTATAATTAATGTGAGACAGAAATGACATTAGAGTGTATTTTACAAACAGACAGCAAAAAAGCAAATTTCCAATCAAAGAATTTTTCGTGAATCTGGTTTTGTTTTTGAAACTAAATTATGTAATTATATATTATTAAAAACGTAAGTATCTTTCTTAAGTTATTACTTAACTTTACTTTGCTTTTACAAAACACCTTTTATCATTAATTTCAGTACTAAACGTAACTTCTACCCTTAGCGATAATTAATACCACACCAGGCAACCATACTATGAATTAATTCACATGTAATTATTGTCTGTTTAGTTGGAAACTGATTCCTAGTCTTATGAAAAGTATACGTTTAATATATATATTTGGCCCCAAAATTAATTACATTACATATCCATTATTAACTGTTAACTGCAATTTAAAAATAAATAAATAAATGCTGAGAGAGAGAGAGAGAGAGAGAGGCTTTCAAAGAGCGCAAGTTTGATAATAATTGGCGCACAAGTAATGGCTTCTTGAGGGCAAAGCTTCTGGAATTCAACACAAAATGGGTTCAAATATTTATTTGATAGAAAAATTGTTGCAATGGTTAGTGTATTAACGGTCAGAAAATTCACTCTCATTTCTCGGCTCCTTATATAACGAGAACCACTGGAAGGCATAAATAGCCCGAAGTTATGCGAAAAACGGATAAAATCACATAATATATTAGATTAGGCGCTAATGTTATAGTATTTGGCAATACTTTGCATACGAATGACGGCTTTTGACAATACATTTTGTGTGCGGAAGTGTTTCACTTACTTTTGCCAAAAATACATGATTAATATCATTGAAATGTATATTGAATTACAGACACAGAGATAGCGAACACACATTTGAGTTGTGGATATATTTTTAGTTTTTTCTCTCGTGTATAACTAATAGTCTTAAAGAATGTCCTATTGTTGTATTGAATCGACAATAATGTGAACATATTTTTCACTATTTATTAATAAATTAGGTGTGAAATAGAGATGTTGTAAGAAATATGTCGTGAATTGCCCTCCTTTTCTTCCAAACGAAATACGGAAATATCCGCCGAAAAGACATTCAAAACTATAAATAGTAGTGAAGAATATATTAATGTATACAAAATAAATTGTATATAATATTTATTTTTACGATTATATTTATTGTCATTCATTCTTGTGATAAACTCTTTATATATGGAGAAAAAATCCCTAAAATCTAATGTCTAAAAATCTCAAACATTTATTATCAAGAATTCAGTAACAAATGAATGGCTTTTTGTATAATTTATTTTAGCCATTATGTGGTCTATATATCTACGAATCGCCCGTTTCTTTAAATTGCAAACTATTTTTCATTATTGAGAAAAAATTTAATATTTGAAAAGAGAAAAATTATTTAATTCATCGTTTGTTTGCTATTCGCAAACCATTATATGGCATACTATAAACTGAATGTATAACTGAAGGTATAATACTATAAATTGAATAGATTTTGAAAAATAATATGTATTTGTGTTGGAAATTAAGGTGCGATTCGTTTTATTTAAATGCAATTCTCTCTCTCTCTCTCTCTCTCTCTCATTCAGTCTCGACAATTGGTTATCGATTATTGGGTTTGACTNATCTTCTCTCTCTCTCTCTCTCTCTCTCTCTCTCTCTCTCTCTCTCTCGTCTATTTTAAAATAGAGAAAAGCCCTCAAAACGAACACTTCATTCGACAATTGTTTTGATTGTATGAAAAATCTTTGCGTTAATCCCAGTATTGTGTGGACACCGACACTAATGACAGCTCCGCCAACACATTAACTATAATTACTCATAACATAAAAGCTGTTATTTTCAGTTACATAATAGTCTCCCTTCTCTTCAACAACACCTCAAATGCATCTTTTGCTACAATTTTCTTACTATTGTTTACATGAATAGAAAGTTTGCATTTCTTTGCAAAACACAAAAAAATATAACATAAGATAATTAATTAATGTTTTGAATCGCGATTACAACTATTCAAACATCACTGAAATATGTTCTCATAATTATTCTGTAATCAAATTGTTATGAATTTATAGTCAAACCCAATAATCGATAACCAATTGTCGAGACTGAATGAGAGAGAGAGAGAGAGAGAGAGAGAGAGAGGCTATCAAAGCAAACATTAATTTTCATAACTAAACGATCTATTAATTTGTGTTCAAAAAACGCGATTCAAAATATTGTGAGAATTTTATGCCGAAGTGTTCACGAGTTTTTGATTTGAATGTTTGGTTTTATTATTGATATGTTTTGACGAGAAAAATGATTAATCAAATGAAGGGAACAGAAGTTGTTTTAATAATTATAACGCTTTTCGCCAAAAAAACTGATGAAAGTAAAGATTATCCACAGAAACTGATTTTGTTTGCATTTTCGTTATCGTAAATGTATTTTACATTCAATTTGAATATCATATACGAAACACCAATTTTGTGGGCCGTATGTTAGCGCCGGTACAGCTGTCACGCCATATACCAGTGCACAACACACTCTCACCCAAACCCATGTAAACCGATGTATCCCTTATGGGGTGAACGGTGTGAGCGATGGCCACACTTTTGCCACGAAATATCTTCGCTCGCAATCAATGGTCACGAAAACCACTTTTTTATTTATAGACAAGTTTTAATATCGCATTAATGTATCGCTTATTAACACAACTCAGAGATTGTATTCACTGTTTGGAAGAGTTTGTTATGAAAAAATAATTTCTGAAACTGAAAGAGAAATTATATTTTTCTGTATAAATGTTTGCTTAAAGGTATAAATGTATAGCAATTTGCAATCTTATTGCATGCCATTGCTCTATGATATGGATATACATGTTATATGCGATCAACGAAATTGCTTATGAAAGACCATGTTTTGCGATAGTCGACAGCATTTCAACTAAAATTATACATTATATAAATATCTATAGCTTTAAGTAATCAAAAGATATAATGTGTTGAATGATTAGTTGCAGATAAAAATCACAAACATTTTGAATTGCATTTAGTTCTTTGACTTATTGTATACAATAACTAATACTTTGTTGAAATTCATAATTAGAAATACAAACAAAAAAAGTAAATTTCAAAATTCTAGACATAAAAACCAACAGTATATGTAATTCCTATGAACAGTATTATTAATATTAATACTATGTATGTTTAGTTTGCATAATTTTATCAAACAATTTCTATACTTTTCAAACACTTGTTAACACAATTTAACATAACTATTGCGTAAAGAAATTTTTTCTCAGTCTTTGTTTGCCCAGAGATTTACATTTTATTGTCTTTCATTTACTATCTGTTTGTTTTGAAATGCATTTCTCTATTCTTGAGCTATAGTTCAGACGTATTGTATTTTCCATAACTATTTTGTAGCGAAAGAAAAATTTAAAACTTTTTATTTATTAAAAGTGAGCATAAATTCAATTGACAGTTATTGCCGATAATTTATTTATAAATTCATAATGAAATGTATGAACATTTTGTGAAGCTTTCATATTTACCATATGACTGACTGTTGCGAAAAAGTGTATGATTTGATGGAAATTTATGTTATGTTTAATATAAACAATGCCTTTAAGTATATGAAAGCGTAGAAACAAATTCTCTGCAAAAACTATTAGTTTCTGAACCTTTTAAGAGATCAATAAAAATAAATAATTTAATGTTTAAATGAATAAATTATTTATTTGTCTAAACTTCTAGTTAGAAATCGTTGCCAATCTCTTCGTATACATTGAGATTCTTTGCTTCAAAAATAACTTTTTCTCTGTGAAGACTCGTTGAGAAAGAAAATAACCAAATAATGAGTGCCTTTTGAATGTGTGGTTTTGCCGGTTCTCTACACACGTGCTCTCGTCTAATGAGATCCACAGCCGATATTAGCGAAGATCTTAAGCAAAGATCGACCCAAACAGGAGGACCACTGGTCCTGAAGAGACTGTGCGCCTAAACAACGTCGGCATTACTTAACCATTGCATACATTTGGACGACTAGTTTTCAAAGCAAATTATATCGCATGCAATCGATCGGCAAATCTATCAAATAATTGAATACAAATATTGTGTTTGACGTCAAATTGCATTCCCATTCAAACCTCTCTATTGAATCAAAAAATTTAAATTATCAAAAGAATGAGTAAAAATATGTTTGAAAATAGTTTTACAAAATATTTGCAAAATCTATGCTCTTATGTTATACAATACGATTCACCAAATTATTGGTTATTTGTTTGGTTTGCGAAACATATTTTCTCGACATTTGGTTTTGCACTGAAGTATTGAAACTTTTTTGTGTGTATTTTATACTTCTGTTAGATTTGATTTAAAGGATTGCACACATTATTAATGCCAAATGTAATTGGCTTTTTGCTCTCTCTCTCTCTCTCTCTCTCTCTCTCTCTCATTCACTCACTTTTTACCTCATCTAAAAACTACGTTTAGCTTCAGTGCAAATAACTGCTCAATAATTTATATTTTTACATAGATTGAACAAAATTCACTTAAGATAACAAATGCTCTCTCTCTCTCTCTCTCTCTCCGCTATTCGTTACGCATTTCAGTCTTAGAATTGATTTTTAATTTATTGACTAAAAAGAAGTGAAATACAAAAACAAAGTTTCTGACAATGTATTACTTGTTCCCAACCCTTGCCCTCTCTATACGGTATATATAAATGATTTGTACATTCGGTTCATTGCTCTCCAACACAAGGAATTTAACTTAAAATATAATTTTAAATAAAATAAATATTATATTTAATGGAATATAATAAAGGCATTAAAATTGAAAATTATGTTCAATTGACTGAATATTTAATATGAATA